TTTTTTTTTTTTTTTTTTTTGCTTTTTTTTTCACTTTGTGCTCCTAGAAAGAACTCATTTTATTACAGCCTTTGTAGATTTACTCATAAGCTTTCAAGGGCCTTCATCCCACTTATATAATTTGAACCATAACATCCCATCTTTGGGTCACTCTTACAGCTGGTCGGTTATAGCAAATATAAACTTTATCTTTGAATTGTGGTGTTGCTTGAAACTGAAAGCCCATCGTTTACAAGGTGAAAATGTGGGGTTTTTTTAACTCATTGTGCATTATCCGCAGAGAAGAACATTAACTTCACATTGACAGCCATAGGGGAATCTCTACCAGAAACTGATTGATCTATATTGATGTTTTAAATTGTGCAGACAATGGCCAGAACCAAATTACTTCCCTTTTGAAGCCTTTAACGACAGTAGCACAGTTGCACCTCATTGAGACCTAAACCCTTACTAGTCTTGGCTTTGAGGAGCAAGCTAGGTTTGAATTCTCCAAGTGTGAATATATAGGAGCTTTAGAAAATGTATATGAGTTTCTGTAACTCAAAAACTTGTAAGGAAAGCTGTTCAGATTGAATGAAAAACATTTTCGCTTTCTTAGTAAAATCAAATTATGCCAAGGAATATTTTTTCAACCATGTAATAATTTTCATTGCAAACCTCTTTTTGAAGAGATGTTTTCTTCACCCATGCTTCAGACTTTGGACTGCAGTTGTTATCCTCCAAATTCTGGGATATTTAGGTTAGCATGTGGTGGTCAGGACTCCTGAGTTTATTCTCAGCCTCTGATACAACCACGTTGTATAACCCTGGGCAATACACCCATGCGGGATAAGATTAGATATTTTTTTTCGGTTTGAATGAAAGATTTTTCAGTAGCAATAAATGTAGACCAGTGCTGGGCTCCTTTGAAAAATCTCACCCTAAATTCTTTGGTTTCACCTGTCTGTCGGACAGGGATAAGACCAGTGACATACCTTTATTTCAAGGTATAATAAGTGCTGGTAAAGCATTTGAAAACCTTGCATGCAAAGTGCCAGGGAAGGACAGAGCTATCATTAACAGTTTGTGTCCTTTCCATCCATACAGGCATTCCCAGAATGTAACTACAGAGCTGATCAATTTGTCTTTTGTGCTCTAGGTCTTTCTAATGGCCCTGAAGCAATGGAAGTAGATGGTCTTCAGGAAGTGCCTCTCTGTAGCTGTCGAATGGAAACACCCAAAAGCCGAGAGATTACCACACTAGCCAACAATCAATGCATGGCAACTGAAAGTGTGGACAATGAGGTAGGAGCCCTTCTTAAAGACCTTGCTCCTCTGGATGGGTACCCCTCTGTGTTTCCTTGGTTGACAACTCTCCCTTCTCTTTTTGTGTGGGGAGAGGATTTATAACTGCGTACTGGCTTATAGCAGATTTTCGCTCTTGACTTTGACTGCAGGAGTCTGGGAAGGTCTGTAGTGAATTTGTAAACACACCAGTTCTCAATCCAATGGCATTTCCCATAGGCAGGAACACAGACTGGTCCAGGCAGGGGTGGGACTGGAAGTGATAACCACAGAGAAAGCTGTCCAGCTTCTTAATACAAAGTTATTAGGCAGACAGATGGGTTGTCAGTTGTTTGAAAACCATCTGCCTTTCTTCTTTACTCCTTCTTTGTGCCTTAAGTTCTCCAGACAGGTGGCTCAGCTGCAGGAGTATGCATCCCCAGTGCACAGAGGTACAGCTGGACTCTTTCTCCTTAGAGCATTTAAGTTCTTGGTGATGGAGGGATGAAGAGGGGACAGAGAGAGGGAAAAAAAGAAAGAAAGAAAAAGTGCAAATGTAGTGAAAGAGTTAAAAATGGAAGAGGGATAAACCAGAGGTAACAGAAAAAAAGACAGAGGGAGAGGAAAATGGTGAAGTAGATTAGGATAGCAGATGAAGAAAGTACAGTTCAGGAATTCTCTCTTAGGTCTCACAGAGGCTCCACCATGGGAAGCATACTCCATCCATCCACTGCTTTGTGTGAGCAGCACGTCATCTCCATTTTCTCAGCTGAGAGCTCCAGTTTTCCCTATCCATCGCATGCCATATTTAAGGAGGAGATGAACTACTACACATCAGGCCACTTCCACCCTAGGGGGTGGCACTTTTATTTGGAGAGTGAATGGAAGGAGCCTGGCAAGTGGTTTTATGCACTTATAGGCTGTGCTGCTGAGTTGGCTTATTAAAACAAATATGTTTTGAGCCATGTGGAATAAAATATTATGGCATGTGTCAAATTGGGAGAATCCAAGCAAAGGGAACATTGGAGCTAGTTTCCCTTGATTACCTGAGCATCAATACAGTCCTTTCCACAGCCAGTTCTTGAGAGATCCTTTTTTGAAACTGTGCTTGCTGCTTATCAGTTTTTTTTCTTATAAAAGTCCCCACTACATTAAGTTGCTGCTACAAGGCTTCTATCGCTGAATCCCTGTGCTGCCTCCAGGTTCATCTGACAGAAAATTGCTGCACTTAGGACTTTCAGTTCACTACAGCTGGGCTAGCCGGGTTCTAATGGCTGCCAGTAGCCTGGAAGTAAGTGGCACGTTGATTCCCTCCTGGGGCTTGGAAGGTACCACTTCAGGCAAGAAAACAACTCTGTTCAGTCTCTTTTATGCCAGAGGGCACTCATATTTCTTTCAAGCTTCAGTTGGGCTGCAATCACTGTTGTATAGGTTTGTAGTCTTCTAGTTCAGGGATGCTCAACCTATGGTCCATGGCTAAATCTGGCCCACAGCCATGACATCCAGTCTGCAGAAATCCCTACAGGTTGGAACAAATTGGCAGCTGGAGAGTGGGAGAAGCTCCATGCAGTTGGATCCACTGCCCAGGCCACTGCGGCATAGCAGGATCAGGGCTGGGCCTACTGTTTGCCTGCCCAGATCAGGCCACAGTGCTCCCCACCCCGTGTCCAGCCCCCCACCCTTCCTGTGCATTTGGCTCAGGGCCAAGCTGCTCCCCCATGGTGTGTCTGAATTGGGATTGGTCCTGCCTCCAGTCAGTGCATCTGGATCAAAGACAAGCCACACCCCCCCACTCTCACTGTTGGGGATCAGGACGGCTGCTCTATTCCCCCACGTGCCTGTGGATGGATTAGGGTTGAGCTGCACATCTTCCTCCCATCTCCCACCCACCCACCCAATCCTGTGGTTGGATGGAGCCCCCTCTCCAGCCCCATGTGTATGAGCCCACCAGCCGGATGCAGCCTGCAGCTGGACCTGGCACTGCCCATCCAGCCCATGGGGTGAAGAGGTTGGGCGCTACTGCTCTAGTTCTTTGGGGTCTGGAAAGGACTGAGAGAAGGAAGCAAAGGGAGTGGAAAAAAGAATAATTAATGGCCTTTCACAGATGATCTCCACTTCAGTGGCTTGCATCTGGGTGTGCCCCACAGAAAAGAAATTCCTGAAACAGAACAAGAGCTAGTCATTAAGGGAGAACTTTCTTAGAGCTTTGATGAGCGAAGGCCTGGAATCCCATTGTCCAGGGTTCCTGTATGGTGAGATGAGTATGCTAACAAAATCCCTTTCTGCTAACAAAATCTTTTTCTGTTGAATAGTTTTGTAGGAG